CTAAAAGTTGAAGATTGATTGATGGGTGAATGTTTGATATTATTGGTTGAAACCGACGGTCGGCCAGTGTCGGTGAACATCTGCAGTCCTAGCAAGTTATTGCTGTGAGTTCAGCACCAATGGTTTTTCCATTGGTAGTTGGAAATCGCTTTGATTGGCCGTTCAGCTTTAGCAGATCTGTGCACAAAAAGCAGAAAACTTCAAGAGGGCATCTCTCATCTTTCAACTTCATGTCATCTGATCACTCAGATATTTTAAGTTGCCATTTTATGAAACCATCTGAGCAAGAGCGAGCAAACCTTAATCCATAGAGCTTCTTTTGTTTATATCCGCAGTCTGCTGGTTTTTGTGTGACAAATACAGACTATCACCTCCTGCTGGTATTTCATAGTTAACAGAAACGGATTATTCCCTAACTCTTTGTACTCCATGGAGCCACCATCAACCCACTCGGCTCTCAGGCTGACCTGGTGGCTGAAGCAATGTCCGGGCTACTGCAAGTAACTCCAGAGTTGTCGGAGAGTCACTAAGCTTCAACTGTCTTTTTTGTTTGCTTCGTTGGATCTGAGATCACTGGAACAACGAGACAAGGAGCAGAGGAGGACAACTGACTTAGGCACCTTTCAGGGACACATTTCAGATTAAAGACCAGTTAATTGGGGATAGATTGTACAACTGGGGACAAAAAACACTGTCCTCAATTAGAAATAAGCAGATTTTTGGGTCATTGGTGAAGGTTAGGGTAAATCTCCAGTCCTCAAAATTTACATAAGTGAACGTGTTGAATAGGGCCGAGTTAGAATTTGGAAAGATGGCCGCCAGAGCCCGGCCCACCTCTACAGCATCAGAGGGGACGAGTGCAAATGTAATCCCAGAGAGCCGTGAGATCCTTTGTTAAGGAAGTAGACGAGGGTGTCCCTGACGTTGAGCACACTGACCCCTCGGAGGTTGTTTTGAACAGCCAGATCCTCCAGGATGGATGACCTTGTAGTCTGATCTGTTGACATCTCCTGGAAGGACAATGCTGAACCATCTCCCTTATCACTGGATCAAACCCAGATTTTACTGGTTTACTGCAATTTATGAGGTTTCGACATTGGAGCTGTAAGTACAGATCAGTCTTACAGTCACACGTTCTGCCAAAACATCTCTTTTGGCAAGAGGTTTGATCAGAAACCTTTAATAAAGTCTTCATTCTTGAGTTCTGTTATCACAAATTTGCTCAGTCGATGCCATGTTAGAGCACTCTGAGAGCGCAGACTTACTCCAAGGTTGTTTTGTTTCTACAGGGACATTTAAGGTGTCTGTTATGATGCATTGCTCACGACACCGACTGAAATCTGACATATCTAACAAAATTTGATTGGTTGTTCTTTGGCCCGTGCTACACCCTTCCACCAAGTATCAGGTTGGTAGTTTTCCCGTAAGGCAGCAAACATACCCTCCTTGGCGAAGGTAATGAATCACCAAGCCATATGGATCATTTGTCTCTCTGTTGCCCCCCCATTTAGGATCTTAAGGTGCCTGAGCAACCGGACCCCTCCAAGATAGAGGTGGTATCAGTGACGGAGGAAGACCTCCCCACTGTTGAGACCCCCAACACACTGAACGTCAGCCCCCTGGACAGCTTTGCTTCTGACCCGCCGTCGGAGAACGATTCTGCCAAACCTCCGGCCGCCCCCAGCCCCACCATGCCAATCACTAAGGTGCAGCCGTTCTTCCACGGTGAGACGCTGTGATGGTTGTTGAGGTAACGGTACAGCATGATATGGAGATTGCTGCACACAGGTAGAGTTACAGTGGGGTCTGCTTGAAACGTGAGCTGACCGACACACTGCGGATGAGGATAATAGTGATACAGCTGTCACAGATTAACTTGTGTGTTATAGCCTGGAGCTCTTTGTTCTGCTTCACTTTCCCAGGATAGAAAATATTTACTGAACCAGACCATTCTGAGGTATTTTCTTCAGACTTTTAGCTGCTGAATGATTGTTTGATTGCTAATGAAAATGTTAGTTTGGTTGTGCATAGAAACAAAACTGAAGAGCAAAACAAAAAGACCCACAGACTGTCCTACTGCCCCAAATACTCATAGAGCTCCAAATGTGGATTAATCCGCTGCTGAAAATAGTCCAGTAAGTTTTACTACAATGAAACTATATATTTGAGTTGTCTTTAGATTAAATAGATTGTAATCTCTTGATGTTTGAACTGTACAATATAAAACACTCGATGTTAACTATTTTCTCTCACTAGAGGACGACCTGGAGAAAAGCTGGAAGACCACATTTCTGGCCCACCGCCTCGAGCTGCTGATCGCCTCCTGCATCGTCGTGGCAGTCACTCTTGTTCTCGGCATCGGCCTCGGAGGTGAGGAGCTCAGTGGCGTGTAAACTTTGTCCATTCTGCAATAATGGAGCCACTGTAGCGTGGACTGACTTTGCTTCTTCAATATTTAATGAGGTTCTTACCTGTTACACAATTTAGGTCCTGCTCACACACTGCAGGCTGAATGCATGCATTTAAGCACCAGCTTTAATTTGATGGTCTAGGAGTTCGGTCTAGACCTGCTCTATTTGAAAACTGTCCTGAGATAACTTCTGTTATGAATTGGTGGCTATAGCAAATAAAATTGAATTGAATTGAATAAAATAATTTTAAATTTGGACGAGTTAACATAAAGAAAGCCATCATGTACCACATTAAAGATTTGAATGGTTCAAAGTACATTTTTAAGGTTTTAAAACTAAAAAATAGGTTTAAAACATTTGAAAATAAGATTTGAATGTCTAAAAAAATTGTTTAATTTACATTTACGTTAGAAAAAACTTTAAAACTTTAAAAGAGATTCAACTCACTTTTTTCATAAATTTGTATCTGAAACTGAAACCCGATCACATTTCTGCTAACGTTATCAATCCACCAACTCTGTTGTAGCTAGCAATTAGGTATGTTAAATTTAATCTACTCACTAACAATGGCTAATAGCTGTTATGAGATACTCAATATTAGCTAATTATCAAAGACGCTACTATTGGTGTGAGGTTTTATTTTAAACATTGATCAGTGGCTTCCTGGAAGTGTAGTGGAAGTTCTCACCCAAACACTTGGCAGGTAACTGGTGTCAAATGTTAGCGGGGTCACAGTGGACACGACTGGAAGATCAGATGATCAGATGGCTTCCAGCTGCCGAACAACAACAACACGTACCAACTCATAAAATATCTTTCCCAGTACCACAATTATGACCAACGTTAAAATATAACAGCGTAGTCTGACTCTGTTCAGCTACAGACAGTTTGGTTTATTCTAAAAATGTATTTATTTATTCTATATATATCTATAATGTTAAAACCGAGGTCCACACTTTGTTGGTGTATAATGATAGTCCACTGTTGGTAATGTAGACAATAATGTGTGTGTGTGTGTGTGTGTGCGCAGTGGGTCTGAGCTGTGCGGGGAAGTTTCGTTGTGGTTCATCGTCTAAATGCATCAGAACCTCGGCTCAGTGCGACGGAAAGCCGCACTGTGACCACGGAGAGGACGAACTCGGCTGCGGTGAGACACACACACACACACACACACACACATTAACACATTGTTTCTCCAACAGGGGTACGCGTCCCCCTAAGGGCACTTTGGAGTACTGCAGGGGGGACGGGAGATTTTATTATTTTAAGGTAATTTAAAAAATCAATCGTGTATTAAAAAATAAGTAAACTACTATATAATAAGTAAAAAAAAATATATATGTGAGTTTGATAAACCACATTTTATATTCATATATTTATATTTTGTCTGTCAGTACGTCTGAGTGGGCGGAGCTCCGTCCTGCAGGTCCAGAAAGGAGGAGTCTGGAGGACCGTCTGCTCAGAGGGTTGGAACAACTGGTTGGGGCTCTCTGCCTGCAAACAGCTGGGATACTCCAGGTTTTTATCTTATGCTCTTATCTGAGATCTGTGTCCATCTTTTAATCAGGTTCCTGATCTAGATTGCACTAATCAGAAGTTCATGTAGCATTAAAGTGCTTCGTATCAGTCCGTCCAGGAAGCTGCGATGTTGTGATCGCAAATTCTACCTCTTTCCTGATTGGTAAAGTCATTCAAATCTTAACTTGTTGTACTTCTCTACGATCTGACCTCCACCCTGTGTTGCTGCAGTAAGACTCAGGAAAGGTGACCAATTGGAAATGTCCAAATTTGACCAATCATCGTAGTTTCCCGCACAAAATGTTGAGTCAGACGTCATCAAACTACTAGAAATGTTATTGTCACTGGAACACCCTTCAGCTTTTAATGAATTATACAAAAAATCGCAACAATTTTTTCAAATTTATTGCAAAAAAATGCTTAAATGCTTTGCAATTTCTTAGAAAAGCTGCCGTGAAATAAAACAAGCATGCACTTTTAGGAGGTTCATCAGTTTATAATTAGACTAGTTGCTGTGTCTTTTTATATAAACACGTGTAACATCCCAGTATTTTAAATATATTGTTCTCTGGTTAAAATATTGACACTCTGTTGCTGTCTGTTTGTCTATCAGGTACGTGGAGTCGTTCTTCGTCTCTCTGACCTCCATTGATCAGGACTTTCAGCACAACCTGGTGTCCATCGACCTGAACCGGTCGCAGGTCATTAAGCTCCAGGACGCCGCGACCTTCAGGTAGAAAGCACTCAGCCCATATCATCTGAATGACAACAACTAAAAATAATACCATACACTGTATATAAATCATCCAAAGCAGCTCTGTTATAACTGGACTTCTCTTCATCTCAATCTACAAATAACAGAATCATTTTTTCATTTGTTCAAAAGCTGAAGAGATTAAAGCCTAAAGTGAACATTAACAGTAGTTACAGTTTACTTTCCAGACTCAAATAGTTTTTTAAAGGACGACTAGATGCCCTAGAGCACCAACATCTCAGACAAAAACCAGGAGGAAATGAGTCCTTGGCTGACCAGACTTCATTGAGAAAACCTGTGATTTTACCGAGCAGATAATTGGAAAACACAGTTCAAACTGCACTGAAACAAAATTGAAGTCACCAAAGCCGTCAACAACAACTACACAAAACGCTGAGCCAGACGTCACCAAACTACTTTTATTCTCACTGGAACAAGTTAAAATTTTTTATGAATTAGACAGAAACTTGCAAATAAATTTCAAACATTGTAACTTGCATTGTAGTTTTTTAGAAAAGTTGCCCTGAAATCAGGTATTTTAGGCTGTAAAAGTCCCCCAAAAAACTAAATCCTGGAGGGATTGTTCAGTAACTGTTTTAAGAAATATTGATCGTTCTGTTTCCTGATCGATAGTCACTGGACATTAAAATCTTAACCATGTTTCTCTGTGATGTGACCTCCGCCCTCCTGCAGTAAGACTCAGTGCAGCTCAGGGAAGGTGACCACTCTGAAATGTCTGGGTGAGAAAACTGAGTGTTGACTCTCTTCTCTGTGAGGATTTAAAAGGAGCTGTTGCATGTTAGGGGTTCATGCATGGCGTGCAAATGTGTGTTTGCTCTGTGTTTATTGATCATCCCAATAAGAAGATGTTTCCTGATGTTCAAACTCTTTTTTAACTTTGTAAATAACTGATATGGAGCCAGTGTGTGTTTATGTGGTTGTCTGTATTTGTGCATGTACGTCTGCATGGATTGGTGAAGGTTGATGCTGATATTTGTGGTCGAAACTGCTTATAACTGATCATTTGGATCAATATTTACAAGTTTTAAAGGTGCACTAAACCTGTGAAAACCTTTGGCTGTGTTCAATCCAGGTCGCACCGCTGACGGCAGATACAGTTAGCAGCAACTAATTAGCAGTTAGCTACCTATTGAAGTTGAAGCTGAGCAGCCGGAGGGAGTCAGAGGGAAAACCAGGAAATATTTTCTCCATAAGTAATCAGTGAGGCCAGAGATAGAAACACTCTAAAATGCCATCAAAAATACCTGAAAATACCAACAAATTCATTGTTGGACAGATATTGGAGTATAAGAGACGTATAGTACCAAACACGTGATAAAAACAAAAGCAAAAGCAGCATTTTTGACTTCATGGGGACTTTAATAAAGACAGTATCAGCCCACCAGCACCTGCCGTTAATGCCTCGAGCTGACCTACGACCTTTGGCTCCTCCGCCCTCAGAGTGCGGCTCCAGGCCTCAGTACACTCAGAGCACTCGTATCGTCGGCGGGAACATCTCCAAGCCGGGTCAGTTCCCGTGGCAGGTCAGCCTCCACTTCAGCAGCGAACACCTGTGCGGCGGCTCCATCGTGACGTCCCGCTGGATCCTGACGGCGGCGCACTGCGTGTACGGGTGAGTCACTTCAAATATTCTGATCGCTTTACCTCAGACAGACTTTGACTTTTGACTTTTATGAGTCTTTTTGGCATCTTTATATGAATCAGTACTTTAGTATAAACTTCCTGTCACTCAGGTTTGTGCGCAGCAGTTTTAAATGACTCTGCTGTTTACTGAAGACGGTGTCAGATGAAGACGTCTTGAGCTCCGCTGCATTCGACGTGCACACACACACACACACACACACAGAGTCCATCATGCGTAGTTAAAGTTGTACGAGCTGGAATCAGATTACTTCCCAGTAACTCCTTTAACCTGGCAGGGTGTCAGTCCTCTAAACTGTCCAATGAACGAGCTGCTTATCGATCATGTGACGCTGTGACTGGCTCCTGTTTAGGAGCAAAGTGCCAAGAAAGACAACTGTCTCTGTTGGTTGGCGGGTTTTAATTTCACTGACACAAATATTCTGTCTGTCGTCAGGTTTGCGGACCCCTTCATGTGGACGGTCCACGTGGGGCTGACGGAGCAGCAGGTCCATGGGGCTCAGTCTCTGCCTGTGGAGCAGATCATATACCACGCTCGCTACCGGCCCAAAGGACTCGACTACGACATCGCGCTCATGAAACTGGCCACTGCACTCAATTTCAATGGTAATGCTAATTTCACCAATCACAGCAGTCGCCTGCATAAAAAGTTGAGCCATACGTCACCTTAAGTTAAGATTTAAGTGACTTTATCAATCAGGAAACAGAGCGCAGGAAGATCAATATTTCTTACAGACCCTCCAGGATTTTTCAGTTTTTTTAGGGATTGTTGCTGCCCTAAAATACCTGATTTTGCAGCAGTTTTTCTATAAAAAAAACTCAATGTTGCAATGTTTTTAGGCCTTTTTTGAGATGAAGTTGCATAGGTTTTTGTATAATTCGCAAAAAATCGAAGACAACAGTGAGAATAAAATCACAAATAGTTTGGTGACGTACGGTTCAACGTCTTTATGATTGGTGAAACTCGCAGAAAAGTTGCGGTGAAATTGCAAGGTGACAACAATGAGTTAATTGTTATAGTTGCAAATACCTGGAGGGACTGAAACTACCAGCAGTTTTCTTCTTACTGGAATAAGCTGCCTTCGATTTTTAAATAATTACACAAAAACTTTTCAAAATCGCAACTAATTCTGCAATTTTCACTTTTCTGTTTTATTGCAAAAAAAAAGCCTAAAAACAACCTGCGTCACAATTAGCTGCTGCCAAATCAGGTTTTTAGGACCACAACAATCCCAAAAAGAACTGATTAACCATCCAGCACACTAAACATTGAAGCTTGATCCAGTGACAGTGAAATCTCTAGTAGTTTGGTGACATATTGTTCAACAGTGGGGACGTTTGGGACAGCTATGATTGGTAAAATTCGTAGGAAACCGCAATGATTGGTCAAATTTGGACATTTCAGAGAGCTGCAATAAAGGTCGGAGGTCAGATCAGAACAGAATTTTATAAATTGGGAATGATTGGAAAGCTGAAACATACTTGATGCCCCCGTAAGTCAGATAACTGCTCCTGCACACAGACACCCACCTGCACTCTTATATAATGTAAATCTATCAGATTCTTGTCTCACCTTTATTCAGTCCTGTGGGGGCGAGAAGCTCTCTCCCTCTCCCTCACTCTCAGGTTTCTTGCTCTCTGACAGCTGAGTGTCATTATGTGTATCAGCTGTCTCAGCTCTTACCCATCACTCTTCATCACTTCTGATCCTTCCAGCGTAAAAGGAGTCTCTGAACCTCCGTCTGTAAACAGGTTGTGTGCAGATACTCTGGGAGTTGTAGTTTACTCAGATTCTCCTCCACAGGCTTCGTGGAGCCCATCTGTCTGCCCAACCACGGGGAGGAGTTTGAGGAGGGGACCATGTGCTGGATCTCCGGGTGGGGAGCGACGGAGAGTGAAGGTGAGTCTGACGAACTGTAATAAAAGCCTCGGTTGTGTGTTATGACTCTCACACACGTATGAATGTGTTCCAGGTGAAACCAGTCTGGCTCTGCGCTCTGCCATGGTGCCACTGCTCTCCACCAAGACCTGCAACCAGCCGGAGGTTTACCAGGGCCTCATCTCGTCCTGGATGATCTGTGCAGGATACCTGGAGGGAGGAACCGACTCCTGTCAGGTAAAACACTGAGACGTCCTTCTTCTCCGAGGGTGGTGAAAGTCTGCATAGTCGTCCAAGTGGATGTAATAATAATAATAATAATAATAATAATAATAATAATAATTAATGTGCTTCACTTGATAAATAACACATTTTAGCCTCTTTAGGATATAAAACATGAAACACACATTTACTTATCTCCACTACTCTACATTACTTTCTGCTGTTTATGGGAATTATTAAGGTTCAAATCC